GCAGCAGGGGGGAGGGGGGCTGGTGAGGGGGGTTGGGAGGGTGAGGAGCTCAGCAGGGGGAAGAGGGGAAGGGGGGGACGTGCCTGAGCCTCAGTCGGGGAGGGCCCCTGCCATGCGAGGAGGCAGCCTCACGGGGCAGTCTTGGGATTTGAAAGTAGCCAGTGTGACCGGACACTTGTCTGTTCTTTCTTTAAAAAAAAATTTTTTTTAAATGTTTATCTTTGAGAGAGAGAGCGAGCGAGTGAGCAAGCAGGGGAGGGATGGAGAGAGAGGGAGACACAGACTCTGAAGCAGGCTCCAGGCTCTGAGCTGTCAGCACAGAGCCCAGCGCGGTTCAAACCCACGAACCGTGAGATCATGACCTGAGCCGAAGATGGATGTTCAACCAACTGAGCCACCCAGGCGCCCCACTCGCCTGTTCTTTCTCATCACAGGATGCTGCTCCTGACTGCTGGTGCAGTTTAAGGAAGAGCGTCTGTTTCTCTGTTCTTTCCTTCCCTGCAAACAGAAATTTCCCCTGGAGCGTGGATGTAGGGGAGGGTTGGGATAAGATGATCCAGTCTGCAGGGGAACGGAGACCCTTCCCAGGAGGAATCTCCATCCAGGCGGCTCCTCCCCTCCCCCCCCCACCGCTCCCACTGTGGAACTTGGGGTATTCCCAGAAAGGCGGGTGCTGGAGACAGTGCGGTGACTAGGAGTCCCCTCGAAGGGACCATGGACAGAAGGTATGAGTGTGGATAAGCGATGCTGGCTGTGTATGTGAGGGTGTAAGTGTGTCTCTGTGAGTCAGAGCATGTGTAACGGTTCGTGAGCTCGAGGCCATCATGTGGTGAGCCTGAGCCCTGCTCTGGGCTCCGCACTCTCTCTCTGCACCTCGTGGGATTCTCTCTCTGCCCCTTGCTCACTTGCACTTTCTCTCTCTCAAAAAAAAAAAAAAAAAAAGACAAGGAAATGAGTAAATGAATGAATGAATGAATAAATAAATAACAGCACGTGTAAGTGTATGTAGCTGTGTGTGTCTGCGTGGGTAGAGGGTGGGTCTAGAGACCTCCCCCTCCAGCGCCAAGGGTCCCTCTGAGCTCCACCCCTGAGGGCCAGGGCCAGCCGCCAGCTGCCACCAGCTGCGTGCTGCCCTTCCACATGTTTATTTTTTATTATTATTTTTTAAAATTTTTTATTTATTTCTAGGAAAGAGAGAGAGAGACAGCGTGAGCAGGGGAGGGTCAGAGAGAGAGGGAGACACAGACTCTGAAACAGGCTCCAGGCTCTGAGCTGGCAGTCAGCACAGAGCCCGACGCGGGGCTCGAACCCACGAACCGCGAGATCATGACCTAAGCGAAAGTTGGACGCTTAACCGACTAAGCCACCCAGGCGCCCCCCCTTCCACATGTTTAAGGCTGACTCCCTGTCCTGTGCATCAGCGAGGCCTCTCTGGCGGGAAGGGCACCCTGACCGTCAGCTCACTTGGGGGTTCTCCTCCTCTTTGCGCCAAGCTCCTCCCTCTACCAGCCTCCAAATCCCTGATCCTTAACACCTTCCCCAACCCTCCAGAGGTGGGCCCAGGCCCAGACCCTGACACGGGTCACTGTTAATGAAGTTCGCTCTCCCCGAGACCCTGGGGATAGGCGTGTGACCCCCTGCTGACCAATCACAGGACGCCGTCCCCTCTGCCAAAGGGTCCATACAGTAGGGCCTCCCTGCTGGTCCTGAGTGAAGGGAAGGTTCTTGCTCAGATGCTATAGTGGGAAGTTTCGAACGTGGGGCATCCGGTGGCCATCCTCCCCACTGCGTGAGATACTGCGTGTCCGTGACCATGGAGATCGGCGGGGGTGGGTGAGTGAGAGAGGAGACAGGGCAGGGTGGGGATGAACATGTAGGCGCAGGGACAGGGTGAGCAGATCAGTCCCGAAGTCTTGGTTCCTATGGTCTCTCTTTTTATTCCGGAGCTTTCCCAGAACCCGCCCAGCGACAAGAGCCGGTAAACTCCCCTTTTGCTGGAGCTGGAGCTAGTCAAGTTCAGTTTCTGCCACTTGCAGATTAAAGAGTTGTGAGTGATCTATTGGTCTCCGCAGGCCATATCCCAGCCCATCCACGTGTCCCCATTCTCTTCGGGAGCAGGGGCTGGCTCACACATTCCTGGTACTTTCCCCTCGCTCCTCCTTCTGATTAGAGCCAAAGGTTTGTTTGTCAAGCATCTCTTTTCCTCCCCCCTTCCCTAGGCTACTGATATGATACATGGCCCCTGCCTTCCCCCCTGCTGCAGAAATACAGTAGCACATGTAGAGAAGTTTCTAGATGCCTAGGCATGACAAAGGTTGTGAAGCCCAGGGGAGGACATGACTCAAGTTATCTTGGTCACTCTGACCCTTAGGATCAAGGGAGCAGGACGGAGAGAGAGACGGGGAGAGTGCCCTTCTAGACATCTGTACTTAGCTTCTCCTTGTGTGAAAGTCCCCCTCGTGCATGCCACCTGCCTCCTTTCATCCCCTACATTTATACCTGGTAGGTGTCAGCCAGTTTACTATTTGTATTACTTTCTCAAAACGGAAATATCTGGCATTCAGCTCCCCTTTATGAAAGTGATTCATAGTCATGCAATATAGTAAAATAAAACCAAGGTACCTACGTAGAAAACTCCGTAACTCTGGTGATGTCAAATCAGCCCATGCGGTAACGAATGGATAGCCAGGCAGTCCTTCTCTGGTCCGTCACGAGTTCTGTTTCTCACATGCGTCTTTCCAGCGACTGTGTGCTCATCTCCCCACTTCTGGCCACTCAGCCCCTCCCTGTACGTGTGGCCTTTTTAGTCCCCAGACCACGTTCTTGAATGATACAGTCTTGCCAAGGAGAGGGCAGCCCATCCAACCTTCTGCCCAATGTAACAAGCTTGGCCACAGCAACTGACATATGGTGAATTACTGATGCATGCATGCTGCTGAGATGGGCAGCTCACTACCTTCTGGGGCAGCCCTTCCACTATGGGGCAGCTCTAATTGCTGGAAAGTTCTTCCCTTTGTTTAGCTGAAATCTGGCACCAAGATGCCCTTGGTTGAGGGCCTGCCCTCTGGAACACTGCAAAGTCAGTCTGTTTTTCTTCCACATGACAGCTTTCACACGGCTGAAGACAGTTAGCACGTCCCTCGTGGATTCTTTCTTTCTCTGGTCGAACACCCTGATGTCTGAGAAGCGCATGAGAGGTGGGACAGCTTGAGAGCCCTCACTGACCTGGTTTTCATGCCCTCCAATGCCCCTGCTGGAGTCTCATACCCAGTCAGAACAAAATTCTCTGGAGGGGCTTGACCCCGGTAAGCAGCCAAGGGGACATGGTGATCTCACACTGCAAAGTTGGCACTGTGTGTGCGTCAGAACCACCAGCGGATTCCTGGGCTCATCCCCTGAGGTTCTGGATCAGTAAGTCTGGGATTAGGCCCAGAAATAACTTTGAAGAAGATCTGCATAGCCAATTCTGTTGACAAGCCATTTTTCAGTGGGAGAATAGAAGTGTGTAGGTGAGATGGGCAGGGTGTGATGCTGGGCAGCCCGTGTATTCTTCAGGACTCATCTGTTTGCAAGAGACAGAAATTCAGTGTAACCAGCCTTTGCGCACAGGGGATGCATTGGTCCAGGAGCTGCAAGGGATTCTGGGACAGCAGAAGCCTGGCCTTTAGGAATAAGGACTAAAAACTCTTGATCCTGCTGCCTCTCATCTCCTGCTTGGCTTCCTTCTCAAGAAGGATCTTTCTGTGTGGTGATGAACATGGCCACACATGTCCAAATTCATATTCTCCCAGCTCCTCAATCTCAGTGGGAAAGGTATTCCATGCCCCCCCCACCCCCATCAGTATCTTTAAATTAAATCTAGGGAAGGATTTGTTTAAATGTTTATATATTTTTGACAGAGAGAGAGAGAGAGAGAGAAAATGGGCGAAGGGCAGAGAGAGAGGGAGACACAGAATGTGAAGGAGGCTCCAGGCTCTGAGCTGTCAACACAGAGCCTGACTTGCGGCTTGAACCCATGAGCTGTGAGATCACGACCTGAGCTTAAGTTGGACGCTTAACTGACTGAGCCACCCAGGTGCCCCTAGGGAAGGATTTTTATTGGTCTGATTTGAATCACCATTAAGCTATCACTGCACAGAGATGGGCTATGACGATCGGATCACAGACCTGTCCCTGCCCTACGCCAGAGAAGGCTCAGGACACTAGATGAGGGAGAGTGAGTTCTCGGAGAGGAATACTGGCCACGTGTCCACCACCACCATCTTGCATGAGGGTTGCCTAGGGCTTTCTTGGGAAAAGGATCACCATCCAAAATTCTAGAAATAGCGAGATCTTTTAAGGACCTTGTTATGATTGTCTACTGAGATGAAAATAGGAAGAAATGTTAGAGTTTACAAACTGGATTAATATTTGTGGTTACAAACTTTAGTCTGGTCATTCACGAACCTTGATTGGTCCTGAAGACGTTTGTGGGCCCCCTCAGTCTCAGACTGGTGTCTCCTTGTTTCACTGGCCAGAACCTTCCTCAACCAGACTGAAGCCTGGGACATTGACATGCAGCTTCTCCATTTCTTCTCATGCCCTTTGGTATTTGGAGGTTGTTTGCGGCTTATCTATTGAATAGGTTGCGTGCCTTATGTTTCCTCTCTTTATGTCTGTTTACTTTCTCTAGTTTGCGTCCCTCTGAAGCAGGGCTTGTGTCTAGCGTCTTTCTGCTATCGTAACATAAACTCAACAGGGTGCCTCAGGGTGGCTGCAGAAACGGCTAGTTGACCCATAAAAACGTGTACCACCCTGGTGTAGAACCCTTGCTGGGAATCAGCTGTCGGGCCAGGACCACCTCTCCCAGCCCCTTCTGCATCAACGTAAGGACCACATGGCTGGGTTTGGAATATGAATGCAAGTGTTGCCTGTCGCTTCCAGGCTGCGGTGGCCGGTTAAACATTGTGTGTTAAGATTTGTTTGCTTGCTTTCTTGTTTCTTCTGCCTGCTGGATGTAGACACTCCAACAGAGAACTCCAGGATGTCCTAGGGACAGCTGAGCCTCAAGGAACTGAGGTCCCCAAGTCGCCATCTGGAGGAGAATCTCTCAAAAGTGCCAGTTGACCAGCAATGTCCACATTCAACTTCGTGTGAGTGTAAAATAAGCCTTCACTGTGTTAAGCCACTAAGTTTGCAGGCCAACTGGTAACATTAATTACTCTGATTATAGTGCTCAGGTTCATAAGAACTGGGTGGCTGTGGCTGGCTCTAGAATGGACTGCTCTGTAGCTGACCACTCTCCTTTCCTACATTGGTTAGTCTGCCGATTCATTCATTTGCTGCTCCTTTCCTCCGGCCAGGCGCAAAGGCCGATGGGGGAGGGGGCGCATATCTCTGTGCTGGGCTTTCTCACCAGGCTCGGTGGGTCCCCAGGCTACCAGTCCCCAGCGCGGGTGTGGCTGCCACACCTCTCAGAGCACCCTTCCCAGTTTAAAGTTGGACACCATGTGGGCTGTGGTGTTGTCAAAAATCGGAAACCACATCCATCATTTTAGCGGAGAGATTTTACTCGAAGGACCTGGTTAAGTGAGTATTGGAGAATGCAAAGGTTCTGGGACACCGCGGAAGGGCAGCTACAGGGAGCAGCCGTCACCCGAGTGCTGGGGGAAAAGGCAAGAGACTGGGGTCATTAGAATTTAGGAGCTTGTGGGGGGGGGGGGCGGCGCCTGGGTGGCTCAGTGGGTTAAGCGACTCAGGTCATGATCTTACAGTTCCATGGTTTGCGGCCCTTGTTGGGCTCTGTGCTGACAGCTCGGAGCCTGGAGCCTGCTTTGGATTCCGTGTCTCCTCTCTCTCTGCCCCTCCCCCACTCACGCTCGGTCTCTGTCTCAAAAATAAATAAATGTTAGAATTTAGGAGGTTGGAGCTTGGAGCTTGCCCGGAGCGGGAGGCAAGCGCTGGCTAGTCAGTGCTGGGTCCCGCCCAGAGAGGGCACAAGACCAGAGGCTGGCTCCCGTAGTGCAGAGAAGGAGAGACTGGAACCCACCACTGAACGGGGCTGTCGCCCCTGCCAGGGTGACCTTGAGAGGAGCACGCAGCTAAGAGGAAAAACTAGAGCGGGTTCCGGTTTCCTCCTACCGGCGTGGCGGTCTCTCGCGCGCCCCCTGCTGGCAGGAGCTAACTGGGTGCAGCCGGCCAGGCAGAAACCGGGTTCTTGGAGTTCCAGCCGAGCACCTCACAACCTAGGGTCACTCTGGGGTTTGGAGTTGAGTGGTAACAGCTGAAGAACCAGCACAGACCGTTTTTCGCTTGATTCTTCCTACCTGGTCGTCGTGCTGTGGGGGACCCTCGGAGCCAGCCCTGTCCAGAGCCCCCCAGCCAGTCTCAGAGCCAACATCCCGGCAAGGCAGCTGGTCCTGGGCTCCGGGTCCTGGGGAGACTTTTGGGGACAGGCTCCAGAGAGCGCGCACGTGGTCTGCACTGCAGACCCCGGCAGGAGGACATTTGCATAACGAACCGATCCTGCGCAGGTGTGGTTGGTGCGCAAGTGGGATGGGCTGTGTGGGTCCCCCACCCAGAGGAGCTGCCACTCCCCCAGACAGCTCCCGGGAAGGCGGCCGCGGCCTCTCAGCCATCTGGCTAAGACTGAGAATTCGGGATAGCAACACTTCCACTTATTGCCGTGTGACCTTGAGAGAACGAATTACCTTCTTCAAGTCTTTTAAAAGTAAAAAAAATATGTTTATTTATTTTTGAGAGAGAGAGAGAGAGAGTGTGTGAGCAGGGGAAGGGCAGAGAGAGAGGGAGACAGAATCTGAAGCAAGCTCCGTGCTCTGAGCTGTCAGCACAGAGCCGGATGTAGGACCCGAACCCACAGACCACAAGATCATGACCTGAGATGAAGTCGGATGCTTAAGCCACTGAGCCATCTAGGTGCCTCAGCTTCTCTAAGTCTCGATTTCTTCCTCAGAGGGTGTACAGTCCCCTCAGAGGGTGGTCATGTGGATCAGGGGTAACATACATAAAGCACAGTGCCTGGCACATGCTAGAGACATGATCAATGGCAGGAAGGGTGATGATTCGCAAGAGTGGGGGATGGGGGATGTCTGCCTTTATCCTAGAGGCTTGTGGGGTGGCCTCACTCTCAGGGGGATGAGCAGCCCCAGGGAGCAGCAGTGTGGGCAGAGAGGGGGCACACGGGAGCCTGAGGCTCCTGGGCCCTCCCCAGCCCCAGGAAAGGGCCCTGCCCAGAGAGCCTGCCTTCCAGCCTGCGGTGGCCCAGAGGAGGCGTGCGCAGATACCTAAACCAAGTGCATAATTTCTAGATTCCACTGCAGTGGAAGTTTGGATCAGAGTGAGTGGGTGTAAAGAATGTCAAGCAAGATTCGATTACAATTTTTATTTTGGAAAAACCTTCATCAAAATATGTATATCTAATTAGGACAATTACAGCACAGGAACAAAAAACTGATTAAAAATCAGACACTCCATAAATTACGAGTGTTTTCCTCCAGCTGGGGCACATCTCCGGCTGCTGAGCTGCAAGACCAATCAATGGAGCCTGTGCGCTGGGAGCCGGAATGGGGAGGTGGTGACTCCCAGGACAGGACTGGAAGGGGTGTCTGTTGAGAGTAGGCTGGGGGTGGGGGGGCCCGCGACCACTTGACTGTCACCCTGGGGCATGGAGGCAGCTGGGGCCACTCCGGGACAGGAAGAGCTGCTCACGGGTGGATGAGCCGGGGTCTGGTGAGGTGTGGCTGAGGCTGTACGGGGGCACAAGTGTATGTACGTGCACCTGTGTGCATGCATGCACGTCACTGAGGCTGAGCAGGAGATCATGTATGTGCACGCATGTATGATGGCGTGTGAACAGCTGTGCAAACATCTGCATCACGGCCAGAAGATGCAACTGTCAGAACAGGAGTAGAGTACACAGCAGCATCTGGGGTGTGGTGCCAGAGGCAGGCGTTGTGCAGAGAGAGAGCAGGTGGGCAGCTTGTCATATGTGCCCGGGCACCACCAGCTCGAGGATGAGCCCCGCATGTCACCAGGCAGGCAGAGCTGTGCTGTTAAGATATCACCTGACGAGGCCATTCCCCGAGGATGTCCACACTCCAGGCCCTGGAACCTGTGAAGGTGTCACCCTCCATGGCTTAAAGGACTTTGCAGATGTGATTAAGTTAAAGATCTTGAGATGAGGACGTGAGTGGGCCCAGCGTCATCACAAGGGTCCTTGAAAGTGGAAGAGGTGGGCGGTTGAAGGAGCTGTGATGGCAGAGGAATGACCAAAGCTAGTCTATGTCACTGGCTTTAAAGATGGAGGAAAGGGACCATGAGCCAGGATATGGGCATGGCCTCTAGAGGCTGGAGAAAGCAAGGAAAAGCTTTCTTCCTTAGAGCCTCTGGGAGGAGCACAGCCCTGCTGACATCTTGATTTTAGCCCAGTGAGATCCACGTTGGACTTCTAACCCATGAAACTGTAAGTCAATAAATTTGTGCTGCGTTAAGCCATTACATTGTTTGGGCTCAGAGTGGAGCCCAAGCGAGGCTTCAACTCATGACCGTGAGATCAAGACCTGAGCTGGGATCAAGAGACGCTTTAGGGACTGAGCCACCCTGGCGCTCCTAAGCCACTACATTTGTGATAAGTTGTTTCAGTAGCAGCAGAAAACTAATGCAGAAGGTAATGTTATTTTGCCATTTTACAGGTGAAGACATTGGCGCTCAGAGACGTCAATGATTTACTGAGGCTCATCCAGCCAGCACGCGGCAGAGCCACGATTTCAGGCAGTCTGACCCCAGAGCCTGAGCTGGCCTCTCCCTTCTGTCCGCCAAACTGCACGGTCTCTCACAGCAGTTGAGAGGGCCAGACTCTCCATTTCCAGGCAAGCTTAGAGACGCCTCTTTGCTGCCAGCTCAGAGAAGATGGAATCGAGCGGCCATCTGGGAAGAGAACATTGAAAAGCCTGGACACGTTCCATTTAAAGCCTTGGTTGAAGGCAGCTTGTATATCTTCCCTCTGAGGAGAGGAAGGGGTTTATGTCTGAGCCCGAAGCCGGCTTTGACACACAGTGCTGTCTGTCTCCCTGGCCAATCCCCCTTGAACCTGCCTTAGCTCTTCTGTTCCCTTCCTCCCCCCTCAACCCAAATCTCCGTTAGTCTGCACTCTTAGGCATGGAGATTTAGTAGTTTCATGGCCTTCAGAAGCTTAGGGGTTAGATTACCATGGGCCCAGAAACTCACAGCCCCAGGTAAAAGGGCGGCAGTGGGGTGTGTGGAGAAGCCACTGGATCCTGACACCCACTCCCTTGCTCTGCAGCGACTGGTGAGCCAGACCATGCCAAGAATCTGAGAGCACCATCCAAGATGGCCCAGGGAGGAGGGGGAATGGAGACGAGAGATCCCGGCTTAGGAGCCACACCAGCTGGGCTCCATTGCTGATTCCCTCGGAGGCTTACTTGACTCAATTCTTCTGCTGGGCCTTAGTTTCCTTGTCTATAACTTGGGCTACTTAGAGAACACTCCAGAGATGCCCCCTAGCCTGGACCTGCTGCCCTTGATGGCTAGGCTTCTCTTCCCTGCACATGATAATCCTGGGGCGCATGCCTGGCCCCTCCCTGCTTGTATATTCTCAAAGAGGGTGGCCATGGCATGAGAGCCTTGGGGTCTTGAACTGAGTGTTAGGGCTGTGTCCTGGCCTCCAGGGGATGGTATGGGGATAGTGAGGTCTGCTTTGCAGGAAGCTGTCCTGAATGACCAGTGTGAGAGCCACCCTCAAATACAGCACCCCACTTTGTGGGTCCTTCCTCATCCCAGAAGCATGCTGTCTCCCAGGCCGGCCCTCCGAGGCTTCCTCCTCCTCTGGCCCCAGGCAGAGGACTTTGTGTGGCGAGGGAGATGCTTGACTAGATCTGCTCTAACAGAATCAATAGGCTTGTCTCAAGCAAGACTCTGCTGGGCTGGCTGGCATCACGTGACCATCTCCAAACCAATCACTCTGACCTGGAGAATGCAGTGTTATGACAGTTCAACCGCATGATCACATGTGTGGTGTCGCATGACGGCATCTGCAGCCCGGCCAAGAGATCACCCAGGCTCCCATGTTTGAAGCCCCCCCAGAGTCACATGTAGTGCATGATGACCCCGCTCAAGAGCCCCATGATGAAATAGCTTGTTGGGCAGACACAAATATTTTCCTAAATGCCTACCGTGTTCCAGGCACTGTGTGGAAGCATCACTTGGGACATCTGTTGCAGATGATTTAGGGAGTATCACGCCTTGTATGTCATCCCCGCCTCACACCTTGCTTTCAAGGGACTCCGTCTGGAAAGGTCTGTGTTTGGGGCTCTGCGGCATCCTCTGAGGATACTGGGGTGGCTCTGAGATGCTCCCTCAATGGGCATCTCATTCACTCTGTGGCTTAGTGGGTATTCTGGGGCACCTTGGCACTTGGGCATCTTAATTCCAGGATACCCTGGTATGTGTGTGTGTGTGTGTGTGTTGTGAAGGTAGTGGGTGTCAGGGGTTTGGGACTCTCCTCAGTCTTAACAGACAAGGGAGAGGTAGGGCGAGAGGGAGGTCTTCAGGGCCACTGCGTGTGTCTCTGGGCCTCCGTCCTCTGCTGTCTGCAGCTCCTTGATCATTATTCTGGGCCCAGACCGAGGCAGCTGTGTGATGGTGGGAGAAGCTGAGAGGCAGTGACAGGTGACAGCGGCTGCTGGGTCTTCCTTCTGTTAAACGCAGCTCTGCCGCCTTCACTGTCTCTGGTGCCCGGGACAGTCTCCTGATGTCCCCCCTGCACCTTCCTCTCCGGTGTCCTGCTGGCCCCCACTGAGGCCTGAGGGACGGGGGGACAGTGGCTGGGGTGAAAGGTCCTGTGCTGGTCATTTGCCTGTTTGCTCCCGTGTCCACTTCTCATGCTTCTCCTGTTCTGCTCAGAGGCACAGGGGACCGATCATGGCTCCTGGCTGATTCCAGCCACGCTACAGGCTGAATGCTCCTGTCTCCCCATATCCGTGTGTTGAAATCCACCCCCCAGTGTGGTGGTGTTAGAAAGTGGGGCCTTCGGGGGGCGCCTGGGTGGCTTAGTCGGTTGAGCGTCCGACTTTCGCTTGGGTCGTGATCTCGCGGTTCGTGGGTTCGAGCCCTGCGTCGGGCTCTGTGCTGACTGCCAGCTCAGAGCCTGGAGCCTGTTTCAGNGGCTCTGTGCTGACTGCCAGCTCAGAGCCTGGCGCCTGTTTCAGAGTCTGTCACTCCCTCTCTCTCTGACCCTCCCCTGCTCACGCTGTCTCTCTCTCTCTCCTAGAAATAAATAAAAATATTTAAAAAAAAAAAAAAAAAAAAAGTGGGGCCTTCGGGAGGTGATCAGGCCACGGGCGTGGAGCCTTCCTGAATGGGGTTTGTATCTTTGCAAAGAGACCCTAGAAAAAGCCTCGTTTGTCCCACCATGTGAGGGCAGAGAGGAGACAGCCGTCTATGAACCAGGATGTGGGCCTCCACCAGACACTGCCAGCACCTTGACCTTGGCCTCTGGCCTCTAGGACCGCGAAGACTCTATGTCTGTGGTTTAAGCCCCCATCTCTGGCACTTTTGTGAGAGCAGCCTGAACAGAACAAGGCAGTGGTGAGGCCCTGGTGGGGAGAGAGGAGGGCAGGAAGGAGGAGGTGCGGGGTGCCTCCTCTCCTCCTCTGTAGCCCTGCTCCGTGAGACAGGCCCACCAGCCCGCGAGGGGCCCCGCTCCTCCTGTGGCTCCCGCCCGGGATGGCAGCAGCTTCGTGCTGTGCTAGTCCTGAGTCGCCTCACCACCCCCTGTGCCTGGTTTCTCAGTTCGTCCTTCACCCATGTGACCAAGTCTCTGTGGACGTGGCTCCCCCTTTAGACCCTTGGGGTGGTGTCTGCTTCCTGCTTGGAGCCTGACGCTGCTGCCATGCGGTTGGGCCTCAGGCAGACTTGGACTCAAAGACTCAAACTCTCCTTCTGTCAACAGCACGCTGTATGAACTTGGGCTCGTTGCTGCTCCTCTCTGGACATTATTTTTCCCACCCGCAAGAGGGAGAGGAGGAGTCTAGATAGCAGCCCCTGATGAACCCTGGACCCTCTGCTAGGACTTTTCTAGGGGTTCTTCTGGGGCTCCTTAGACCCCCTGATTCCCTGATATCACCCCTGGGATCCTCTAAAGCCATCTCCACTTCATCCGGGAGGGTGTGAGAGACGTGCTTGGCCTTAAATCCTAAAGCCCACTCTCCCCGTGGCTCAGGCTCAGAGGGGTGGTCAGAGCCATAGACACCTGCTGGAAATATCTCTTCTCCACGATCAGAGGAAAGTGAGGGGCGAGAGAACCATCATGAGATCTGGGTGTGGGGGAGACCCCAGGGGCCCCTTCTCTGGAAGGCTGCCTCCCCCCTGTGCTGGGTACAGAGGGCAGACACTGGGAGCAGGGGAAGCCAAGGGGAGCGGGAGAGCGGGAGGGAGGGAGGAGATCAGAGTGGAGCTGAGGCCTTGTTTTGGGTTTGAAATGCCCAAGCTGTTAATCTGAGAATAATCAATGCTAATTTGCACAGATCTGGCGGCTCTAGCAGGTTATCTATTTCCCGTCGAGATGGCCCAGAAACTTCTGCAGCTCTTCAAGCCCAGCGTTGCCCACCCAGCCTCCGCCCGCCGCTCCAAGGCGCTGTGGGGCTGCCTCGACGGGGGAGACAGTGGTCAGCCCCCACCCCACCTCCGAGCCCTACCCCAGCTGCTGCTGGGCTGGAGGGAGCCCAGGGGACTGGAGGGGAGGAGAGGACTATGGGGCTGGCTAGCGCCTGGCGGGAGGAGAATTAAGCAGAAAGTGCAAATTACCCAACCCCGTGATTAACATTTCTTCCAAATCTGCATGAATATTAAAATGCAACCCACCCTGGTCCCCACACAATGAATTCTGCATGAATCTTAAGATAAATCGTTTGGATAACTTAGCGGCAGCTGTACTCCCCTGCCGCCAGCTGCCTCCCAAAATCATTTCAAGGAGGGGAAGAGGAGAGAAGGAGGGGAGCGTTGGGGAGAGCTGGGAGGGGGCACGAGAGGTGCTAGTCATTGTGGGTCCTTCTGCTCAGGCACCAGGGCCAAGTGGGGCATCAGGCTGCCGGTGAGGAGTGGGGTTCGCAAAGCCTGGGCTTCAGCTGGTTCACTGAGGACCTCTTTCTTGCGTTCCCAGGAAGAGCCTTTGGGGCATCCTGAGCTGCCTGCTCAATCCTTCCCCTTCTCATAAGAAGCAAGCCAGCTCCATTTGCCCTCAGCTAGTGCTCCATCCCTCTGGAGGGCACAGGTTCTCAACTGGGATGACTTTGCCCCCCCAGGGGACAGTTGTCAAAGTCTGGAGGTATTTTTGATTATCATGGCGGAGGAGGAACATGCTACTGGCATCTAGTGGGTGGAGGCCACAGATGCTCCTAAACATCCTCCAATGCACAGGGCAGCCCCTCTCCTCCAGTGACCAAGAGCGTCACTAGTGTCGACAGTGACAACTTACCTTGGTGCCAGCTTCACCATGGAGGCATCCGGATTTCCTCTCAACCAACCCCTGGGCTAAAAATGGGGGGAGAGCTGGGAGTGAGGTTTTGACTTTTGGAGCATGGCAACATCGCCATCGTCGCTGTCACCGTACCAGGCAGGATCTCAGTGGGAAGCAGGTGGCACCAGCTAGGGGTTCCAGAGAAGACAGTCTAATGAAGAGGCCACTCATACATACAGCCTTGTGAGCAGCGCTGAGAACCAGCACAGGATGATGTAGGATCCAGGGACCTGTGCCAATGGGGAGGCCTTACCACCCAGAGGTGAGGGAAAGGGGTGTTTCTAGCCCAGCCTGTAGAGCCTGGAGCCGTGGAGAGAGGAGGGGTGCTCCAGGACAACAGCAGGTAGGGAGGGAGTGGGTGGAATAAATACCCCAACCTTTC